AAAACTCTCAAATGCCTTGTTGCCAACAGATACCCTGTGAACATGATACCCGAGTATGGAGAAAAATATTTATTTTTAAGAGCCACCCACTTGCTGTGTCAACTGAGAGTGGTGTCAAAGTGTAGACACCAGCACACATGTGGTTGATGGATTAGAAATTGAGGTACCCCTGTGAATTTTTTTGGGGGGGGGCGGGTGGGAGGGGGGCTTGAGTGTGCCCAAGCTAAGACCCATTGTAATGGAGGCTTGATCCTTAAATTACTCTTCTCATGCTGTTTGAGTTTCTGATTTGTGCTGATGCTCTTGGGGGAGTCTTTGGGAGTGACCTAGCTTTTTCCAAAAATCCTGTTTAAAGTGCCAGATGCATTCCAGTGAGTGGCACAAAGCCTTCTAAACCTTTGGGTCTCACACAAGCTGGGGATCTGCTTCATCTTAGCTACAGTATAAACTCTGGCTGATCATCGGAACTGTAAATATCCACATGCCATATGGTGCATGCAGTGGAAAGTGAGCAAGTGCAGACCAGGGGTTTTTGGGGGAGAGGGGAGAAGGGTTGTGAGCTGCGCTAGATGGCCTGATCTTATTAAGACAGGGATGGCAGGGGGTGAAATTATTTAGGATGCGTTTGGTATGAAATTGCTCAACGGAAGTCAGGCTAATGTCTGTTAAACAGTTATTCAAGGAAAAAATGAGTCAGGTCACTACTTCTGTTTTGACAGTTATCAGATAAAAGGTTTGTTGGAAGTATAGGGTACTAGACTACTAGTCGATCAGTGTCACAAATGTTTGATATCCACTGGTAATTGTACACTTGAGAAGCCAAAAACATCGCCTTGACAAAAACATTCTTTGAAAGACCGTTCATAACATACGGTAAACACCGTAGTGCTAAAATTTAAACAGTAATATTGAGGAAAAAATAGTTTGTTGTTGGACTGTACGGCTGTGCTTGTGAGTTTCATCCCTGTTTTCTTACAAGCTTTCCGATCTGACAGCAGAGGATGGTGCAGTGCTTAAGAAATTCCCTCATACTAAAACCCTCCTTTTGCTGTAACAGTCACAGACAGCCAAATATTTCTTCCACTTGATTTTCCACAGTATATGTACATAGACACATAGGGGTCATTTGGCTGATTTTTACTTTACTGACAGGACAGCTTTGCGAAGAATGCACTGTTTCATAGGAGAGGGGCAAAATTCTGTGTTACAGTGAATCGGGAGGATTCCTTGTAAATTGTAATGATGTTTTTGAGCGGTAAAGTTTCAGGCTTCTGGAATTTCAATCTGAGGTGTGGTTACAGTTTGTTTGGGGCCCTGATTTCCTACTTCCAGACTCATCATTTCACTCCATTTAAATAACAAATCTTATCTTGCCCAACTGGAGTGTGGTCTACAGCCTGGTTCAAGAGGAGAGGTGTGGAGTGTGGGAGATATGGAAGGCCAGGCGAGGTCATGGTTCACCAGAAGGTCAGGCCACGAAGGTGGGGTGGGGGACAGGGGACCGGGTTGCCTTGTGGCTGTCCACCCCTTGGGTTGAACGGAAACCTGAGACTGGAATTTGCGGTTTGTTTTTGTTGCTTGAGGTTTGGTCTGAAATGTGGTGCATTCTGAAATGCCTGGAATCTTGGAATCCTTGTTTTGTTGATCATTGGTAGGTGTAAAAATGTGCTGGTTTTGATCCATGTTTAGAATGAGGTTTCAATGAGGACGAGACCGCAGTGCACTGCAGAGGTATTTTTGTACCAAAGTGCACAGAAGTCACATTGGCTTCTTGAGTTCCAAACTGATTCAGCGTGTACTGGGTATTCATGGGAAGAGACACGAAATGTCCAGATTTGGGAAACTGGTGTTGGTGTACGTACATGTAAGTGTAATAGGAAAATGGCACCCTCTCTTGGTCTAGATCAGGACTCCTACAAATTATATCTCACTTGTGGAAAACCCTTTAACACAAGTGGATTACCAAATCGTACATAAAAAAATCAGGAATCAAATACGTGCATGTTTTGCACTTTAGAACCTTTTTGTCCTTTTCTTTACTTTCCCATTTGGATTGTACGTTCCGGCACTCGGTCACGTTTCCTTTTTGTTTTCACATGATACATGTACATGTATGTAGGTCACTTTTCTTACCCTCAAAAGTCATTTTCCGTCAAGACCAAATAAATTTAGCCACTTGTGGATGTTGAGTTGGTTTTTCTTTTTTTTTTCCATTGGTCAGTGATTTTTAGTCGTCCTGCTGATACATGTAAATGTATCGGCCCCATTGTAGCCGGAGGAAGGAAGTTGTAAAAAGCGATGTGTGGGAACAGACATGGGAGTCTGGTGTCAGAAGTCTGGTATGGGGGAGGGGAGGGACACAGGGCCATTGCCAAACTGCAGCTGTGAAGGCACAATGCTCCCCTATTCTCGGCTGTGACTTCACCAGGCCAGAATGTTGTAATCACTTGGACTTTGTGTAGGTTTCCTGCTGGGATTCAATTTAGCCAATCTGCTTAGCAGGAAAACAATTGCCCGATGGTGTCTTCTGCACAAGTGGCAATGCTGTTCTTGAATTTCTTTAATATGAGAAAAGAAATATCGTTTCATGAAATATATGTGTGGTTTCTTAACAAGTTTTCTGTCACAATTTCTCATCCAAATGGGTTTTAAAGGACTGTATTAACCAAATGTTTCTTGAAAAGGCACATTTTGTGATAGTGTGTCTACCGGCACATGTAAGTCAAAGAAAACTGGACAGAGGACTACAGGTGCCAGACCTGCATAGATGTGTACAACGTAATAGCAATTCCCAGCATGTCCATTTGGTGATAAAGTTGTGTACATGTATATTAGGAATGACAAATTTATGGAGTCTGTTTTTGCACTGTTATATTTGTTTAACAAAAGCTGATGCCCCCTCCCCAGTCTTTCACATTCCACCAGAGTGTTTTTGGAAGCATTTTGCAGGTTTTGAAGCGGGTTGAGAGCCCAGCCACTTGGAGGCCTCTTTAAAGTCGAGAGTGCAAAGAATACGCCTCTGGTTCCTGCACAGAGCAATTACACCGTTGATCATACCATGATCTGACCTACCAGTATCTCAATTTTCGACAAATTTGGGTTTTTAGCATATTCTTGTCATGCATGATGAGATCTTTATTTTCTGAAGATGTCAAACCTACAGGTGCTCTGAAAAGCTAATTAAATTAATTTGGGTAATTAAAAATGTTGACCTACCTTTCCAAAATTTAAAATGATTAGTTCCTGGACTGATGCATCGAGATACATGTAGGTCACTCTGTGAAACGTGTAGACAGCGCTGTTTTTTTTCCACGAAGTGTCTTACACAGTCTAGTATCTGGACCTTATTGCCATACCTATTGATGTCATTTGAAGTTCAGTCATGTTTGGTGTCATTCACTGACTGAGCTTTGAACCATAGTTTCAACTGAGTTTCTCTGTCTGTAAATCGCTGAACATAAGTATATTCCTTGTTTTTTTATGCTGAAATTTGAATCAAATCGTGATGGGCATCTGTGTGTACAATGACACGAAATCCTAAGCAAGGCGTACTCGTAGTCAGTCACGGCAACAATACTGCCGCAGTCTCGTCGTTTGGAGTCCGTACGTGACGCCGATCTGTTTTGGCGGCAGTTTACCGCTCGACAAATGCGGACAGTAACAAGGGGACAGATACAGCTGACACAGGGCCACACTTCTTCTTTATTCACAAAAACATGCGCCTTCACAAAGGCACTTCACCTACGTCACAACTTCACTCCCGCACAGCAGCGTAAATTACAATGAGTGTGAATTGCTGATCCTTTCAAGATTCAGAATGGACAATCATAAAAATGGACTAATTACCAGTCTTGCTCTGTGATTAGTGATCAGTATGGTGATTTATGTCTCAATTCCAACCTCACACTCGCGTATAGGACTTCTTTCCCGCGCTTATGCACTACTATGTTCTCAGGAATACTGGTCATCTTAGGTCGGCCCCAGGCAGGAAGAGAGGGCGTTGCACCTGCTGCGCGTTTCTGTAGGGACTGCTAGGCTAAACTGGTACCCTTAAATAATCGCACAAATAGACATGCGTAGAAGCCGGGAACCAACTAAGGTAAAGAATAAGGAGGCCAGTTACAATTTAATCATTCACGTTTATGGGATTCGATCGTTTGGTTTCAGGCTGCCTGGTTCTGATCAAAAATAACATTTCCCCTGGATTTTAGATGCAATGCAGTGCTGGCACTCCGCATCACTGAATCAGGAGCTGTTGACCAGCTGTTACTGTATTCATATTTGGTCTACTTCCTTCACTAATGCCATTTAAAAGTCAGTGATGTCCTTAAAAATGATTAAGAAACAACTCTGATATTTGGTCTACGGTACTTCCTTTACCCATGTCATTTAAAAGTCACTGCTGTCCTTTAAAATGATTAAGAGACGACTCTGATACTGTGAATCCTTTGCACTGTTTAATTTACCTTCATATGTATGACTTGACCTAGGTCCCTGTCGAAATGTTTCGTTCCATGAAGCGACCTATCTGTATATGTTGCTGTTTGCGCTCATAAAATATGACAATGAAAATTTCAAAGTACATGTGGTTTTGGCACTGCATTTTAACCTAGTACTTAAAAGGTTTTTTCCCAACAAAATATCTCATATGTATCTTAATTTAACTTTCCAATTGGATAGTTAAGTTAATATATGAGATATCTTGTTGGGAAAAAATAAATACGAAATCTGTGTCAATAAAAGTTAGTGTTGTGGAGGAAATGAAAGATCTAAAACGGGCCCAACTTTAAATGCGTTTTTCTTGAAATGTCAAAAACTGACATGGGCCAGATCGAGGTACGGTACGACTGACGACGTGTATCAGGATTCAGGAAGGTTACGAGCAAAACTGCCAAGTGTCAGGGGATGCAGGTGCAAAAAGGGCTCAGGCATTATATTAATCACTAATCAGGTTTCTTGATTGTTAAACAAAGTGTTGATTACTTTTCATTTTTCTCCAGTCATGGAACAGAAAACAAGTACCAAATACCGGACCTAAAACCAGCTACGGAATATCAACTCAGGTGAGAATCATCAGTGTTTGGGGAAGGCCACACCAGAGAATAATCCCCCCCCCCAAAAAAAAGTGGAGAAACTGAAAAGGGCCCCCAACAAATATTACCCAATCAACACACTTCAATATGAGATCATGTGCCTTTTACTCGTGCGAATATTGCCTACATTTTCTCCTGACTTTCCAGTGAATATTCACGCTAAAAGGGAATTTAGCATGCATGTAGATCATCCGTAATTGTCTGTGTGAAATACACCCATTGTCAGAGGTTGTTCTGGATTCAAGCCGTGCCCATTTGTTCTCCTTTCCGCTGCAATGCCTGTGCAGCAGTTACAGCCCGGACTTTTGAACTTTTGGCTTGTGACGAACACTTTAACCACTTGCTGCCGGGTGGTTTGCAAAAATGCAGTGCACATAATCGGGGACTTTTCCAAGATTTTCAGTCTCCAAAACTCTTCAAAAATTCATTTCAATTAATGGACATTTACACCCACACAAATTACTGTCTGGTGGCCACTTGAGTCTGACGGACAAAAATCTATTGACGCCCGAGTATTTCAGCCAGGC